GATGAAATAATTTGGAGAATTATTCAAATGAGAAAAAAAAAACTTCATGTATAAATTTAAATAATATGCACCAAGATTCTTGTACGTCCATTAGTCGACGTAACTAGTCTATCAAATGTTGGCAATGAGAAACATAAATTGAAAATACGCTGGACGCTTCTTTCGTAGCTCTCAATAAATCGAAGATTTTGAAATTTGCATGCGGTTTATTGAAGTCATATCGAGGACAATACAATATCAGCATTCCGCTGTTCAGCGAAATTTCCTGAAGGACACTAGAAAAAAAAAATGCCGGCGAGGAGACAAAAGGTGAATTCGGAAATGGATGACCTGATGAATGCCGGAATTTGATCACGGTCTAAACCTGGGCAGAAAATTAGCAGGACCCTGTACAGGCGAGCCAGAAGGACGACCCAGAGAGCAAGCAAGCAGCATCGGCGGAAGCAGCACAGCTCGTCATGTATGCTGTTCCCCGGGCAGCGGGGTTCCCATTTTGCAGGCCCGAGGCCTTTCTTTAACCCCACTGGGTCCTCCGAAAGGCATGTTCACGTGGAACAACATCAACGAAATCACTTCAGAATTATCTCGGTTAATCCAGCCTGTCGATATTACTGAGGGTTGTCCATCATCATCATCCAGAAACTCTATTATGACCAAGTATTGTATCGTGACGTAAAAGGGCTAATTGGCTTCAGAAATAAAAAAAAAGTTTCTTGACAGTAAAATAATGTAATGCTGGATGAAATGACTAATTTATGCCAGACCCTAAAAAATTAAGATTTTTTTAAACATTCTCCTTTAAAGTTAAGTCATGAGCAAATGCAAAAAAGAGGATAATTATTTACCTGCCCGGATAGGCTTTATCAAACTTGTCCGCTCGGGTTCTGCTTTGAACCGGACGGATTTTCGAGTTATACCCGGGTTCTAGGGATTTTCTAGGGCCAAGAAAACACCCGGGCCGCCCGGGCCGAAGATCCCCCCACCCCCTGGCTTGCTCACGCAGCGCCAAAAATTTATTAAAATTCGACCCGCAGTGAAAAACGATACGCTGAAAATCCGCCCTTATTATCCGCCAACTTCATATTCCCCGCTTTCGCCACTAAGAATATGGCGAAGTTGTTCAGCTCCTGTTCTACGCTGGATGTTTTTTTTTGTCTTTCTAAATGCATTCAAACTCATACTCATGATTGCTGTGGCTTGCGAATTTTGAGACCAAATGGAGATTAATTTAGATTTGGTTTATTCCCTAATCTGATCTTTCTCCAAGTTCTCGTAACCGACTTTGAAGCGGTGAATACTTTTTTGTTGTTGAAAATTTCATCGGCACCTTGGAGTAACTTCCGGTGGAAGTACAGTAAATGCATACTTTAGACGTGGGGCGTTCATACAAAAATTAGATTTAATTATTGTCTAACCCCAGAAAATTTTCCAGATAACGCCATGAGTCAGGAAATAAACCCTGGTCACTTCCGTGAATTGTGACACAAAAGTTGGAGAAAAATTTGCTTGCACAACCATTTATCTTCCTCTCATCACTTTCACTCACTTCAATTCTTTCACCCATAGATTTCCTTGGAATACTCCAAAAGACAAAAATGATCACCACAACCTTTAAAAATTTCAGAAGGCACATTCCAATCTTACCTCGTAGATTTTCATCGCTTTTCATCTTCCTTCCTTCATTCTCAGAAAGGATGATTCTATAAGACATGATTTGTGAGGAAAATGAAAGTACGCTGTTTTCTTTTAAAAATATCGACCCATTCACTGTAAATCAATGTCAATTTCCGTCAACTTCATGTGTTGCCGAAAGATGAAGTTCCGTGCTCCCCCAAATACAAAACCTGCGGAAAAACGTATGCAGCGCTCATTGTGTCCGGGATTCTCGTCACATCGGGGGTTAATGGGCAATAAATGCTAGGCCGGATGTACTTCCGGGATTTATACGTAATCCCGAGGTCTATTTATCAAAAGAAACAACATCCTTGATCAAACAAATCAATACCTTCGAATGCATCGTGGTTTGTCTCGTCCGTATCAGCAGCCTTAATTTTTTTTATCCATGTCATAATTCGGAACACACTTGAGCATTTAAAGAATTTCCCACAATCGCAGCTTGAAAAAATTATATGATCATAATTCTATTCATTTTGATTCCAGGCCACGTTTTTTTAAAAAAATTGTCATCGATTCACGAGAGAAACTGGACTGCGAAATACGTCTGCTAGCTCAGGAAGTTTCCTTACACGATTTTTGAAACATTACAGCCCGAGGATTCTATTGTTAAGCGAGACTAACGAAATAAAATTCAACTCAGAAACGCATATTAAGCGACACAGCAGCTGTTGCATGAGCGTAACATTTGTAGCAGAGGAAAAAAACATGCATATTTGCACATCCAGTGCATAATCAATGATCCGTGTTGCACAGAAAAGCGTTCGTCGATCCCCCCTGCACCTGACTGACGCATTAAATCATCTCCGGAAGTTCGATACGATTCAATGTTGCGTTCAAAGAGTTTTGCATTAGCTGCTTCTTCATGGGCGTAGGCAAATTTTAAAGAGGCATTTGAATACTGTATTCGCAAATAAATTTAAAATACGCTTCAGGAAAAAATCCTTTTAAAAATGGGCTCGTGTTTCAAATTCCGGAAAAAATGAAGTATTTCGTGGACTATGCCCCAGAGCTGTTTTTCTCAGGGGTAACACGGGCGTTGATTCATATTTTAATGCGATAAAATAAGCGAAATTGAAATAAAGCTGAATAAAAAAGGATAAAACTGGAGTCTTCGTAATATTTGTGGAAACTGGATCGTGCCAAACAAATATAAAGAGGTACATGAGGGCAATATATAATTTGTATACCGCATCCGCTCCGAATAAGATGGAGATTTTCAACTAGAGTTTTATATGGGAAAAAATCATGAATTGAAGCATTATATTCAAATTTTCTCCATTAAGCCCGATGCTGTGATTCCATGAAGAGAAAAGGTTTAACTTCCAGCGTGAAATCATCTTTAGAAATTCAGAATTAGGAAGGTTTAAAATTGCGAAACTTTACATAAATTTCATTCAGAATTCAATAATTCAAAATACTGTACAGTACTTCCGCAGGATCTTTTTAGAAAAGACAGCTCGCCTCCCTTGAATACTAAACTCTCGTTCCATCAACTACTGTATTACAATGGGAAACGCACAACCCGAACATCCTGTATGAAAACGGGATGGAGGGTGGATTGAATATCAGCACAATTTTGAAAACAAGAAAACCCTGTTTGAAAAAACACCAGGAATTATCATACAATTTAATAATAGTTTTCTTCCGAGAAATTGAAGACACAAAGCAAATGAGTTGTCACACAAAAAAAAAATCTGACGACGATTAGAATTCATATGTTGAACTAAAAATGCTTCCGTAAACTTCAAAACAGGATGATTTATTTCTAAGCTTCTTTTCCAGTTCGAGCAATTAAAAATAAAGCTCGACATCAGCAAGATAAGACTAGATAAATTATACGTTTTGAGATCAAGTTCAAGATACCTAGCGACGCTCTATTCGACGATTTCCAACCAAAACCGTGCATATTTTCCCGACGAATTCTGACAACATTTAGAAAACTTGTTGTTTTTCCCACAGAGAAAGTCCCTCCATGAACACGGAAGGGATTTTTCTTGTCCGCGTCACTGACGACACAGATGACACGGAAAGTAAAAAAACGTCGAGTCATCGTCACGCGCAAAATGACATACGGTAACTCTTTCAGGTTCCGGTCATTTGCATGAGAGATGACGTACTTGAGCGGAAAATCGAGTTTTTATTCAATCCCTCCCTCGGATTCTGTATAAAATATGCACATTCATTCCGCATTTCTCAGATTTTCCATATCATAAAAGTACGTAACTAAGTATCACTGGCTTCATTTTTATGCATATTTTTTGCTCGGAACATTTTTTGTGCAGATTTTGGAAAATTTTTGCTCACATCACTTGTGCAGCCACTATCATGATATCGAACGTCATTTTGAATGGTACTGTATTACAAGAGCTGTGCACTATTTCTAAAATTGTATTCTATTGTCTGTAAGCGATAGAGGTGTTTTGCTAAAGTTTGAAATGGGTTCATTGTTTTTTGGTTACGATTTGTAATCGTATACAGACACTAATACACACAATTTGTTTTGACTCTTTAATCAATTACATTAATAAAAATGCATTTATAACCTACTAATTATAACCTAATTAGAAACAATAAACAAAAACATGCACATCCTGTTTATTTTGAATCCTCGCGATGAAATGATCCAGCTTTTTCTTTAAAAAAAAAAAAGTACCTCATTATTAAAAGTTATCTCCGCTACATACAATTGATGAAAAAAATCAAGAAGATTTCAAATCAGTCTAAATCAATGTTTTCTATGCTGTAGGTGTAATTAGATATTTCCAATTTTTTTAAATGCGATGTTGTGTGTGAATTTTGGATCCGATACATCATGTACTCAGTCATTACTTTCTGAGTTGGCCATTCTAGGATGAAGAAACGAATGTCTGCCAACCATTGCCAAAACTTCTGACGAACACGGAACTGCATCAGAGATCTAGCAAACTGAAATATTACTGGATTTGAGAAAACTATAACGAGCACATGCATTGTATTAGATTTTTCAAGTATAAAAAATGCACTCGACGATGCTGTGAAAAATTTTTCTACAACAACAAAACAAGAACTGCATCCAGTAGTTCGCACCTAACCCCGAATCTCACGGCGCTTCTCTCGCAATTCTTTCCTCGAACGTGTTTCCACTTTCCTATTTGTTGTTCTTTCGCCAGTCGGTTTCTGAGGGTGAGGAAAAACGAACCCAGCGACACGCAATCTTCCGCAGGCGTTGATTGCTGGCACACCAGCAGAAAACCCGTCGTCACCCGACCGACTGCGGCATTTCGGGGAGAAAATTTGGGTCATTGGGTGTCGCCTCGGGGGCAATAAAACGGCCAATAAAGCGCTTAGCCGACAGTGGCCGAGATGCTTTCATTTCCTGCGACCGTCGCTCGGCCGCGGTCAATGAATAACCCATTGAAGGCCGAGCCACGTGACCCGCGGGCGTGTGTCGCGTAGTTTGCCGAACCCGGATCCCCACCCAGTTCTGGCTTATATGCAGGATGAGGCATTGGGAGCTGCTGCTGGGGTATCAGGAAAAAGCATTGACAGGGGATCGCTTGAATCCATATATCCATGCCATGGTTCCGTTTGGTGCGAGCGAATGAACATGAAAATTAAAGCTTCCAGAATGTACGTTAAATTTCGTTATACCGAATTTGGCGCTTCACAAAAAAAATTGGCAAGGGTCCTGGCAGAAAAAAAAAACATAGACTTGTTCAAACTGTCCTTATAACATAATTTTGATTGATATCTTTATTGTTACGCTTACAATCGCGCGCAAAAACGGGTTCGTGTTTGCAGAAATTGTCGTACTGCGGGTCGTCTTGCAATATTGCAGCTGCCAATTTTTTTCAGCCTGCTCTTTTTAAGGGAGTAATTCTGAATTGAAATTCACCACTCACAGTGGGGTCAGAATTCGTTACTATACAAAAACCTGAACATTACTTTGATAAGAACCTCCGAAAAAAATATTTTTTACTCTGGAAATTACATTGCTTTTGGAGTGACAATTCGTTGAAGTATTTCAAGCAGAAACTCTGCTTTTAAATTATATTGTTCTGTATAATGCAAAAAAAATTTCAGATTTGAAGAAATTCATCTTCGAAAAAAATATCCGAGTAGATAATTATTCCGAAAATTATTAATAAATACAGTAGATGATTATTCCGATTACAGAATTGACTAGCCTGTCCCTGAACTCTTGGTAAAAAAAAAAAGAATCTTTCCCAAAAAATGTCTCCTCTTTACTGAGAATTCCAACGAAATCCGTTCAAAACCAGCATGGCATCAAACAATAAATCGAAACACGTTGGTCAAAGACAACATTGAACAGTTAAAATACTGTATATAGCGAAGGCTTCCATGCACCAGTCGCTATAAAGTACTGTATACAGGAACCCCCAGGTTTTGGCACATCCGAGCCGAAAGCAATTCCCCGGGGCGCGTGCCAGTCGTTTCACGGACCGGATCTCTGTTTGCAGAGCCGTTCCGGGGTTTGTTTCCCTAACTCCCAACGGAGCAACCCTGACAGACTATTCTCTCCTCCCTTTTCCGTTCTTATTTTTTTCAATTTTATTTGGGGTACATATCCGTGGGATGTCCTTCCACAAACACGTGGCGATTGATACCACCGTGGAAAAGAGGGGGAAAAACTCGGGCAGAGGATAAGTTGCGATTGACGACTTCTGCGGGTCGTCGGGCGTACGCATCATTCACGGTCGCCTCCAATTTCCATAGTATCCAAATGCGTCAACGACGTGCCGCGAAATGGGGTCATTGCGCACAACCACCACATAAATGCGTCACGGTAATGATGAGAATTTCCGCTAATGATCAGAAGTGAGGATCGACTGTCCCAAACGATCTGCCATGCCACGACTTCTCGCCTTGAACGGGATGAATCAAATTCTTCATTTGACCACCGTCGTCATTTGAAGAAACAACCTCCCATGAAAAAAGTACCAATAAATTTCAAGATATTTTCATTCTGCTGTTCATCTTAATTCCAGAATCTTCGTCTCTGCCGGGAAGGGTAATCAATTTTGTTTTATACGCAAGCAACTACGATTACTCGACCTAGTAAATACAGTGATGTACTGAACATGTCATCCAATACAGTATTAGCATCAACTATACAGGTAGACTCTCTCTACAGAAAATGTATGCGTAAAACGAATTTGAATTTATTTTTTGGTCCTGCAGGATTCCCTTCCTATTTTATAGGGGTTCTCTGCATCATCTAAATACTCTAAACCCATTTTTCTGGTCCACTGAATTTTGATGCACTGTAAAGAGATGAGTCCAACTGTAATGTGCGAAGTTGAATAAGGTGATCATGCGAAGTAAGAAAATATCTACAGTACTCCAAATCCTGTCCTATTTCAGTATGAAGAAAACGCCAGATTCTGTCACGGAAGATGATAGAGGGAATTCGGTCGGGGAAATCGAACGGCTTCATGAAAAAATTCCGTAGTTCGAAAATCCAGCATAGAACAAAAAAGTCGCGGGGTAAAAAAATCCTGTAGTTACCAGAAAAAGCCTGGTAACTAAATTGAGAAACGGAGTGCATGTAGACAAATTCTAAAATAGTAAACAAGAATGAATAAAAAAAAACAGAACACCACGGGAAAAAAACCTTTTATTTACCACATTGTAAAAATTTGGGGCTTTTGTTAGAACCATTTTAGAAGTTTAGGAATGCTTTTCTCAAGAGCCTGAAAGAGATATATAATTTGGAGCTCTGCATTAGCTCTGAATATGAACTGTTCTACAGATTTCGTTCCATTGAGATTTTCGGGTCAACAGGATTTTCTTCTGCACCCAATTGAACACCCTGATCCCTACCTAAACAGACTGGAACATGTTGAGAATATCTGGGGTATCGATAACTGGTACACTGTAATTCTGAGGTTAATGTATCAAGAATATGGAAGCTTTTTCCGCTTTAACAGTATTTTTTTTTAATGACCATGGCGGGCATATTCCAGTACATAACTGTAGTGTGCATCGAAGATTTAAGGTTTTCCAGGTATTTTTTTTTAAACATCAATAGAAAGGTAAGTGAATAATCTTTGACAGTTTCTCAAAGTGGTGATGATCAACTTTTCAGTAAATATCATACCGCAAAAATCGGTATACTGTACTGCACAGTGTACGCTCGCTTCTGATGGTCAACTCGGTAAATGAGTTGAAGTCCATATGTACTTCAAATGATCCGCGATTTTTTTTTCTCCATTCATATTCCATGTGAACTTCCGCACGGATTAGCCGGAAGCCGGGTTTCGGATGTTTCCACGAGAGCCTGATTTGGCTCGAATAGAATTTTCATGGGCTCAGAAAAGCTCCGGTCGAGTGACTGCTGGTACTCCAAGTTTGCCAAACAGCTCTCGATTGTTTGCTTACCCCGAGCGAATTCTTTTCAGCGCGCTCAATTCCGAACCGACGCTCACGGCGATTTCCATGGAATTTGATTCCCCTCCTTATCTTTATACCAGGAGATCTTTTTTTCTGGGACAATCAAGGTCCACAGCATAAGGAGAATCTCCTGGTCGTGGGACAAACGCGCAGGGACGCAAATAAAACCGTTCAGACAGCGCGTGAGCGACGACGTCCCCATGTTTGCTCATGGGCTGTTTCGTAGGGGGCAAAAGCTATCCTGGGGTAAAATGAATGAACTATCATGCGTTGAAGTCCAATTTAGCCATGACTTTTGGCATCGATGAAACCTAAAACCTCAGCATGCTTTGCAGTGGATTTGAGCAAACGTGAATCATTGATTTATATGCTGCATTGTAATACAGTACAGTATAGATTCTGTATAACAGTAGAGATTCTGTCTCAAGTGATGTGTACATAGATGTCTTACAGCTGCGGAGTATAGAAGAATGAGAATAAAAAGCTGTTCATTTTGGCAACACAAGCACCTCACCCATTTTCAAATAATTTTCGTGTACAGTGTTTGAAACATCCAGCTGATATATTCCAGTCAAACCTCTTCAAGTCAAACTCGAAGGGACCACGGAAAAAAAATCGAGTTAGGGGCGAAAAGAAAGAATGACCGGGATTTGGTGATAATCGGGGTGTTAGATTGTTTTTTAAATGAACTGACAGGATCCTGAACTTAAAGGTTTGCCCAATTAATTAGTCTTTCACTGTTCTCAAAAAGCATCGTTACTTTTCAATGTTTTTTTCTTTCCCGTGGTAATAAAATACTGTAATAGACAAAAGCTTTCCAGAAAGTTTGAGTTATAGAGATTTTAGGGGAAAGCCTTCAAGTCAAGGAGGTTTTTACCCATTGCTTCTAAGGGATATGAGACATGGACTTGAAAAAAAAAACAGAGAGGTTTGAGTTTTTTAGGTTCAACTGTACAGTAAAATAAAACTCCAACCAAGATACAAAAATTAATACCAGGCTTAATTTTGAATTTCTCTCTTATTTCCCCACAATTTGAAACTGCCCGGGGAATATCGAGAAACCTAGTTACACCCGCACGAGGTATCTCTACCACTATGGGTCGAACAAACATACGAGGGGTTTTCGCCACGAACCCCTTGGGGGGAGGGGGGGCAACGGAGGGAGTGAAGAAGAGTTTCGTCACCCCCGCGCGGAAGTATTGCGCTTGTGCTTCGGTGTGTCAACACAGCGACGTGTGCCGAAGCGTCGCGGGATGCGCGGTGACACGCGCGTGAGAAAATTCTGGGACAGGCAGAGCCAAGGGGGATTCGCGGCGGCTATTTCTGTGGGGGTAAACGAGGTCGGACAACTGCCCTGTAACGAGAGTTGGCACTGTATTACCGTACCGTATTTCAATATTAAAATGCTGTATAAGAAAATCATTACATAAATAAAAATAAGTGAATTGGACGAGAAAATTCACGAATTCCCGCCGGAGTGTGTCTTTTTTAGTATAGTGGCGAGGGTATTGTTAACCGCTGAATTTTACTTTTATAGTTTTAGAGAACGAAGTTGCTTATAAAGTATCTTATTTTTTGGGTACAGTTTACGATCATGATCGCCTTTTTAAATAGCGCTAGGGCGTATAAAGCTGGAATTGTTTTCTGAGAAACCAAACATTACAAAGCCAAGTTTATGGAATTTTTCTACATGGCAACACTGGTTCGGGAACCGTAGGCTGAATATTTTCGATTTTGACACGTACTTTAATTCACTTTAATTGCAGAAATCATAGATTTACAGTATCTTAATTTAATTGGTGACCAGCCAAAGAAAAAGTATCAAAAATCAAGGTGGAATGAACAACTGACCAAAAACCCCACCTTTATGCAACAAAAAAAGTATCAAACACAAGGGCGTAGAAGTAAATTCCTCAACTAGCACAGATTTGAAGATTTTATTCAATACAATAGTAAGTCTGACGTTCACTCATCAGCATCATTTACAATCAGCTAACTTGAAAACAGCCAGTTCCAAGGCTTAGGAAATCATTTGGCGCTGGAACACCTCAAGATCCGAAGTTCTCCAAGCAGTGGGTTGAAACCTAACTGCCTTTCAAGTCAATCACAAGCGCATTGGAATGCGCAAATTCAGAACCTGTAGTGCAAAAAAATTATTTTCAGCACAAGATTCTGATGACGGAGAAGATAACTCACTCTGCTCTTCACATCAAAGAATGCTTCACTCTTGTCAAAATCCAGGACAACCGGCAAGTAAACATCCAGGAGGTACTCGTTAGTTGTGACCATTATTCTGTCATCGTTCATTTCCAATTGCACCTCCGCAGAGGAATCCTGAATGAGCAAAAATAACAAGATTACTCGAAATATGATCAACCTCTAAAAGTAGCCCAAAATACCAACCACACAGGGAAGTTCTACTTTGGCAAGTAACACGTCGGCCTTTCGACGGAATTCATGAACTGGCGTCTTCCGCGGCGAATCCTCGCTCTTCAGAGGGCGGGTTATTTTTTCCCTCAATAGAAAGTCAGTTTTAGCTTCGGGATCAGGTTTCTTCATGAAAGGTTCGTGAACTTCTTTTACAAGAGTGTCTTGGACGATATGATCTGCTTTCGTGCCACAATATTTCTTGTTTTTGAGGATAATCCAATCTGAAAACGAAGGTGAAAATTCTGACACTGCAACGACATTTGTAATGACACACTTTATCTGATTTGACAGGATAAAAATGGGGCTTCTACGCTTATCATAAAAACGCTTTAATTTCAACGAGCAAATAAAATTCAGGATGCATAAGTAACTAAATAAAACAGAATGGGGTAGGTTTCCTTGAGTGCTAGAGTAACTCACCGTCTCTGTCTAAAGCAAAGCCGTATTTCTGATCCAACCCGTCCAGGGTAACTGTGATCAAGAATGTTTTCATCACTAAACTGTTACTTATTTTTTCGAAGAACTTCGAATTGATAACTACATCGCACGCCTTGCAGTGTTCGCCACCTAAAAAGAGACAAAAATGATATGGTTTGAACAAATTTGAAGCTCGAATCGAATGCGTCACTTTTGTCTTTTTCATCCCTCGGGGATCCCATGCTCATCGGAACGCGTAGAGAATCCGACACGTCACCATCGCTGGATTCAAGTATGTCAACCAGCTTTTCATCGGTGGCTGAAGACAGAAGTTCCCCGGGTTCGGGAATCTCGGAACAATGCATCATGTTCACGAAGACCTTGCCCTTTGATTTGGCCGGAGCGCCAACTACTTTGCATTTTATACAGAATCCTTGGAAATATATGAAGCATGAAACCATGTGAAATAGGAAGAAGAAAAAAATTCGCCGCAGATCAACACACCTTCAACTGGTGCAATCTTCAATGCTGTTCGCTCAGGAATTTTCTTCGAGGGTAATCTCAAGTCCGATAATTCGCCGACAAGTGCTTCGCCTCCATCCCCAGAATTAAGCAACAACTGTTTGGGGAAACTGGGGGTATCAGAAAAATCTAGTTTCTCCATATAGAATGCCCTGTAAGCACAATGCATTGAAATCACCAATTCTCAACAACGGGAAAGTAGAAAACGGAGTCCGATCCATTGGTACAAAAACTGCATTACAAATGATGAAAATACAAAACTCACATTAGATCAAAGAATTCAAATCGACGAAGCATCAAGAACTACTCGTTTCAAATTGCTGTTCGTTACACTTCGGAGATAAAAATAAAATCTTGGTTGAAATTCTCAAAACAACAAAAAAATAATAATAAAAACAGATCAATATTTCCTTCACGTCGCAGCCTTGACTTTTTCGAGCAAAGTGTTGACCACCACTTTGAGGTCCGATCTTTTGTCAAGGCGAATGAATTGTGCGCCTTCACTTGACGATATTATCTGTATCCAGTCTTCAGGAAGGCCAGTTCCAACAGAATTCTGAATCCTCACACCTTTCATTTCCGCCGTCAGTAGTTCGACATGTTTGCGTATATCACCTGAAACCGCATTGCAATACAGTATGTTACACGGAAAAATTAAGGGTGAAGTGGCATGCATACGTTTACGAAATAACAAGAATGTATTTAAGCATCAGCCAGAAGATTAGAAAACCGTACTGCTAAATTCCAATTTGCAATCACCTTTTGACAGCGCCCCAGTGTAGCTGTAAGATATACGATCGACTACTACATCAAGTGGAATCACATCTTTTCTCTCAGAGACAAAAATGTTGTGGGCGATCCGTGCCAAATCTGGAAGTCGCTGCAATTGCTTCAAACGCTTTTCCTCATCGTCGGAACGCAACATCGATCGCACATTTTTCTGAGCTTCTCTTGCACGGATCTGCAATGCATAGATTCATAACGTGAATGTCAAATTTCAAAGTAATGTACCGGACTTCGTTACATTTCAAAAGTGAAATGAAAATAGGAGTATAGGACAACTTTTTCTGAAGTTGCGACAACTTTGAAAGATCCTTGCAAATATCCTCGTAGGTGGGCAAGGATATTGAGAATTATTCAAGAAAACAAAACTATTTTTACCACACAATTCTCGAATTAAAAGACTCACCTTCTCCAGCAAATTTGAGCTGAATTTTTTCAGTTCTTTCGGAACGGGTTTGTTGATCGCGAAGTTGGTGGATGAGATCAGCGGAGTCTCACATTTCTGCGGATTGTCATTTTTCGGAGGTTCAGAAGCATCACGCGTCTTTTGTAAGGCGGAAACCATTCTTGGACAAGCATCGAAAAGATTCCGCGATGCTTGAACTGTAAACGAGAGAAGAAACTGAGTTGGTGTACAAATTTATTAAGGATTCCGTACTCAGAACTTACGCAAAACCTCATTTGCTGTCGCTGGACGGGCAGCGACTGGCTTTTTCGGCAATTCAACGGGGTCGGGAGGAATAACTTGATCCAAATGGAATTCAGGATGCCACCGCTTGACTTCTGACGGATTCACAGTTAGAGGTGAAGCCAAAGTACTCAAGAATGCCTGTGAAAAAAGGTCGACTTATTGCACGAAAATAAAAATTTCAATTTGCTTCGGATTCTTTGTGAGACTGCACTAACCTCATGCTTCGTAAGAACATATTTCATCAAATTTTGTTTCATCACAGATAGTCTCTCTTTGAGAATTTCGGCAGCGACACGATGATTCAATCCATCCACTGGGTTAGTTCCATACTTCGGACGCAGAATCAAATGGTACGCTTTTTTCTTGCCCGCCATTTCAAGAACTTCTATTTCTTCCACAGCCAAATCAAAGGCATTCGGGAAAACTGCGCAAATTCTTCCCAAAGTTGCTTCATTGAAAACTCTGCCCGAGAGCTGACGAACCTTCGCCTTTACCTAGACAGGTAAAAAGGAGAAACATTTTTGATTTCGGACAATTAAAAAAACATTGTAAGAGCTCACTTTTTCGAAATAAATCGGTACGTCCTTCCGATTGATCAACAAGAAAACAATCATGTCAAGAGCTTTGAAGGATTCCAGCAACGATGCACACGCAACAGGAAGTTCCACAGCATGCGAGGCCATCATAGACGAGGAACATTCCTCCGTTGTTTTCGTCGACATTGGGATTTCGGGTGCATCCTGAAGAAGATGCTTGTAGCGCTTGAACGCTGGAATAGCTTCCGTATTTTTGTTCTGATTCATCTTCGCGTTAGGGCTCAGACTGACGGAAAACCCAGCAGAGCTAGATGTAAAATAAGACGTTAATTCGTCCGTAGACATTCGGGAACGAACTACTGACCTAGACGGAACGGTTAATGTAACTGTATTAGAAGCTTTGCAATCCGGCGAAAGCTCAGGAACTCCGCGATTTTCCTCAAGCTTTCTCGTCTTTTCGTTCAACTGAGCTAACCGCGCCTTAAGCTCCATAACGTTTCGAAATTTCTTCAGTTTCAACGGCGAATTCTCATCACATCCTGCAATCGGCTTGCGCTCCGGAGTTTCTTTTACAGGCGTTAATTTCCGAAAACGTTTTGGAAACACCGCACCATCCTCAAGATCATTTGCTGAGGAGGCATGGCGCTTCTCAGACATCGATATTTTTTCCTTCGGAACGTCAACTTCGGATGTAATCTGATCATGACTACTTTCAAGAGCGGATTCCTGCTTCCGCATGTATTTTCGTATATCAGATGTCCCCGGAGCACTTTTCTTCGCTTTTCCTAATGCCCTTGTGACGGGACGACGATCAACAACAGGTTGATTTTCGGTGGATGCAGTCATTACATCAACAGCAGCGACGTTCATCGGCAGAGTGCTCTCTTTCAAGCTAGCTTTCGCCGTTTTTCCGATCACTTCAGCTTTACACCTCCGCGTGTTGTAAAACTTCGTCAACGCCGTTTGAGACATGTTCACGCGGTAATACCTGGATGTCACACAATAGTAAGAGAATGAATTACAGGTAATGTGAAGAAATTCGGACGAAACGAACGGGCTTCAACACATGACGGTACATTCAGGACTCACATGCACCTTTCGATCGCAAATGCCAATTCATTGTTTCCCCGAACGGCAGCTGATATCGCGCGCGCTCCTTCGACGACTCACAATATTCTAGCGTACCGGTACAATCAGGGATACACTGTACCCAGTTCTTCAAGCAGAATTACTTCGCCTCAGAATACTATTGAGGAAGACGAGCATGTTCTTCTAAAGACCTAGTTTTTCTGGGTGAAATTTGTTGTAAATTTGTCGAGACGAAGCTCTCGCATGCTCAGCCACAGAATCTTTGCGGGTACGAACACCATCCATTTCACACATTTTCAGAACAACCAGTTAGAGCAACAATAGGAAACAACTCCGTTTTTTCGTCGCAATTATACCTGTACTTAATCAGGCTATTCTTCAACAGCAAATAGGATGCAAAATCTAAAATGAAGGGATAGAAAAATATTCAACGCCTGCATAAGTAACCTGACTTTGGCCATCTGAAATCTAACATGACGGATTCCGACTAACGTTCATTTCAGACACCAAAAATGTTACGGAAGTTTCAGAAATGCTTCCGTTCGTTGATCAATGCCCAATTCTATTCGCGAGATACTAGAGCTCGGGCAGTTAATGCGCATGTGGAAAGCCCCATCGAAAGCTTCAGATACAGTATACAGTAGTAGATTTGCTTCCAACCTACAAGGTCATCGGTTTAACATAAACTAAGCGGCGACACCTACAGCAACCATTGCGAAATGATGGGCTTCGAGTGTACAGTACAGTATTGGCTTGGGCTTTCCGGACTCTCCTCGCGTTATGTAACTGCGCGAGTACAATATTGTAGTACAGTGCAGTACTGTCGTCGCCTTGCACTGATCACGTCGTCAATGTGAGCGGGGCCTTCACAACCATGAATCCGTGATGAGCGGACTGCTGTCTGCAGGGTTGTGTGAAGTGGAATGAATAATTGGTGAGGGAGGTGTACGACTGTTGCTGAGTGCGTTAGCTTTAGTTGGTAGGTACTATTCTGCGTGTCTGTATCTCAATGTTTTCTTGCGGTGTGAAGGATACTGCTCCGAGTGCTCCCCAGCTTCGCCGCACAGCCGGGGACGGCGGATGCTTTTCCACATTAAGCGCTGAACTTTGGAAGTGATTAGTAATTTTTTGGTAATATTCAAGAGTGCCTTAATCGGAATTTACAGTGATGTCTTGTTCGTTCCTCCGGAAATGCATTTTGCTTTCACTTTGTGATGTTCTCACGCTGATTGCATCATATGTCCAACTGGTTTTTCAGAGGTGCGTAGGGAAACATCAGGGCACTTGTACAAGTGCCAATATGAAACTCCTTTGTGCTGCAGTTCCACGTTCTCTTGGTAAACATTCACTAGGAGATATCGTGAGTCTACGGCACCTCTCTTCTGGCGTTCAACGGGCGAGTAATTCGGAATCGGAGTATGATGTCGCTGTTGTTGGGGGTGGAATTGTCGGCTGTGCCACCGCACGTGAGTTGAAGATGAGACACCCAAAGCTGAGGATGTGTCTGATTGAAAAGGAGAAACATTTTGCGGGTCATCAGAGTGGTCACAATAGTGGCGTGATCCATGCTGGAATCTACTACACACCAGGAAGTTTAAAGGCTAAACTGTGTGTTGAAGGTATTTTGTATTTACAAATTGTGGTGCATTCAGTTCAGAATATTTTTTTCTAGGAATGAGACTAGCGTACAAGTATTGTGATGAACACAACATTCCGTACAAGAAAGTAGGCAAGCTCATCGTTGCTCGGGACGACGTGGAAGTTGAACGACTGCACGTTCTTCATGATAAAGGCTTGAAAAATGAAGTCCCTGACCTAGAACTGATCAGTTCCTCCAAGATAACGCAACTAGAACCGTATGTGAGGGGAAAAGAGGCCTTGTTATCTCCGCATACGGGAATTGTTGATTGGGGATTAGTCACGAAATCCTTCGCCGAGTCGTTCGAGAAATTAGGCGGCGACACTAGATTAAACTTCGAAGTTTCTGGATTCGAAATGACGGAAAAAAATCTGGTGCGGATCCGTAGCAAGGATGGTGCTGTTCGCTGTCGGTTTGCATTAACTTGTGGCGGCTTACATGCGGATCGTCTTGCTGAAATGTCGGGTTGTGGCCGGGAACCACGAATAGTTCCTTTTCGGGGAGAATATTTACTGTTGAAGCCTGAGAAAAGGAATTTAATTCAAAGGAATGTTTATCCTGTCCCGGATCCGAGATTTCCTTTCTTGGGTGTTCATTTTACCCCCCGGATGGACGGTGCAGTATGGCTCGGCCCGAACGCAGTTCTCGCGCTTTCTCGAGAGGGATATTCATGGTCTGACTTTGACGCCAAAGACCTTTGGGATGCCGTTAAATTTTCGGGATTCCAGAAACTAGCTGTGAAATACATTGGATTCGGCACAAAAGAAATCATGCGGTCGTGGGTGATGAGACTGCAAGTTAGAGAGCTTCAGAAGTTTGTTCCGGCGCTGTCACTATCGGACGTGACACGGGGCCCAGCAGGCGTCCGTGCACAAGCAATGGATGGAAGTGGTTAGTTCAAAAGTTAAGCTGCCAACATGGGCATCCCTGCGTAATTATTATTTTCTTTTTCTTTTGCACAGGTAACCTTGTGGACGATTTCGTTTTTGATACAGGCAAGGAAGGAGATATTGGGAAGCGTGTTCTTCACTGCAGGAATGCCCCATCCCCTGGGGCCACTTCGTCTCTTGCAATTGCAAAGATGATCGCTGATAAAGTTGAATCCGCGTTCAGTTTGTGAAGCAATGGTGTTTCGTCGATCGCGAAGTTAGTTTCCAAGTCCTAGCAGTTTTCAGTGAGATTCAAGATCTTCATATAACTTGTGTGAATTTGATAGTAATCTCTCACGAGGATGAAATTCCAGCCGAGCTGTGGTTGCGTAGCGTAGCAATCAAAATTTCCTGTATTTTCGAAATGATTAATCTCAAGCAAAGTGCTGTACGTGTGTTGGTCGTTCGGAAGCTAACAATTTGGATGTGAGCCCAGTGACTTGTATCGTGATCCTGATGTTCATAACGCCATGCCGAAATATGCTTGTGCTGCTGACCCCCTTTTTTAAAGTCAACAATCAAAAATTTGGTGCTCAACTTTCTCAAACTTAAGAATGATATTGTGCAATAAAAAAGGCTTGATGGTTTTCAGTGCGTCATTTGCTTGCTTTTTGTTTTATATTGCTAGTGCAGTACATTATTTTGAAGTTGCGTGTGTTTCTCACGTAATGTTGGTGATTTAACATTGAATGAATATGCATGAAGTGGCGTTTGCTTTTGTTTTTCCCTTTGTAATATGATTAGAATGACCGTTTTCAGCCAGTCATCTTTGCATAGATACATAACTTTTTAATTATTGCTATATTCGTGTGAATTTAAATGACGGTTAATTTGAATGAACGGAATTCCCAACGAGACAGCGGAATCATGGGTATTTCCGACGGGTGCAGAAGAAAGAGTTTACCAGCTCACGATTTCGGAACGTGCTCTGAAGAGAAATACTCTGGTCTGCCTTCCAACTGGTGAGTGGATCCGCGATCAGCGTGTCTTATATCTGCATGCCTTGAATGACAATTTTTAATGAATTGCCATTTTGGTTTTCAGGGCTCGGAAAAACATTCATTGCCGCAGTGCTGATGTACAATTTCTACCGTTGGTTCCCGGACGGAATTTTTATTTTCATGGCTCCAACTCGCCCCCTCGTGAAACAACAAAAAGGAGCTATGCTCAAATTCGTACCGTTGGAACCTACTTTAATGGTAGAGCTGACCGGTGAGTTCCCCAGTTACTATTCATAAACTGAAATGATTTTGTCATGTTACTTGTCTATAATTTCTAAATCGTATTTAATTCTGAGTCACGAGCCCCTGTTTGAGTCGCCCACCTACAGTATATTTATTTCACATGAAAGCAAATTAAATAGAAAAAAATCCTGGCGTATAATCGATGACGTGGGTCAGATGTAAGCATAGTACAGTAGTTCTAAAGAAAAATAAATTCGTGGTAAGAGTGAAACCGATGTTCTTCTTTACCCTGGAAACTTAACCGTATTCACGCAAATGTAAGGCCTTAGGCTTCGATATGCACCTTAGTTTCCCTGCTTCTCAACCCAAAGAAATTCACTTCCTCGTGTTTCAGACAATTTTGAAAATCGTAAATAATTTGAAATTGGCTAAATCTCCCATAATAAGGTGTACTAGTACACTAGCTGTACTAGTGTAATACAACAGCGAGCTAAAAATAAAGTCTTCGAAATTATTTTTCAAGGAAATCTACCTTGCAGGAAATGCATTCAATATCCAGTATCTTCGAGAAAAAAAATCAGATGAAAAGTTGAAAGAATCTTCGTTATTTTTGCATTTTGGAGTTTTCTACGGGGTACAGTACTGAGTAACGTTTTTTAAGTCATGCGTATGTTGAAAATTTCCGTACCGACGTCCGATATAAGATTTTACGTGAGATATCCTGAGATGCTGATTTTTGAGTCCTGATCAAGAAAAATTGTGGGTTGTGTTCAAGTACGGTGATTGGAAATAGGGTCAATCGAGTGACCATGGTCGTATTTTTGTAGGAACTATGAAACCTGAGAACCGGAATGAAATGTGGCTATCAAAGCAATTTCTATTCATGACTCCACAAGTTATGACGAACGACATAAGCCGGGGTGTTGTGCCGTTGGACCGTGTTCGTTTGCTAATAGTTGATGAAGCACATCGGGCAACAGGCGATCACGCATACGTGATAGTCATCAATAAACTTTGGGAGAATCACAAAGAGTTTCGTGTCCTTGCGTTGACTGCCACTCCCGGTAAGGACGAAACTCGCATTTATGAGGTAAGTCATGCGCTTGAGAACTTTCGTATTTTTGTGCCACAGATGCACTTTCTGTTGCGTCCTGTATTTTAAGAAAATCTAATCTCGATTTTAGCCAAACCGTTTTTAAAATAGCGGAACGGATTTCTGCGTATTCCCGAAACTGTACAGAGAGCCGGTCGGCTGTTGAAAGTATTAGGGTAAAAATTAAGGGGCTTTTAAAGAATAAGTATAAAATGATTCTCACCAAATGTTTTTGGGGTGAACATTGATCAGGAAAAGTTCTTCTCTCGTACTTCATTGAAACTTCCTGGTACAGTACTTGATTTTACCGCGTGTGAAGTTTCTCGAAATTTATCTGGGTATTTTTTAAATTTTCGATTCAGGTATTGAATACGTTGAAGATCTCGCATGTCGAGGTGCGTCGAGAAGATTCCCTTGATGTGGCTCCTTATATAAAAAAACGGACAATTGAGCAAGTTATTGTGCCCATTGGTCCAGAATTGACTCGTATTAAAGACACCCTGTATGAGGTAAGCAGCCACGGGATATAATTATAGTAAGAAATGAATAAACTATATTAAAAGATTTCCATTATTACTGTACTATTCTGCAGATTGCAGAAACCTATGTGCAAGATTTGCAACGTGTTAATGTTGTGCAGACATCTCACCGCTTCCTCTCGCGCTTCAAGGTCAGTATTGCGTGTACTATACTGTAGTGTATTATTTTTGAAGTAATTAATAATGACGATTTCACTGCAGCTGATCCAGTGTATGGAAGAACTACGTGCCAAAGGAGGAAGTTTTGCAGGATCGTGTTTAAGCTTGGTTACATTTTGCGTGTCTCTCTACTATGGGATAGAGTTATTGGAGCAGCATGGATTACGCCCGTTTTATAATCATTTTCAAGGTTTGTTGGTGAAATTCTGATGTTCCCGACGCGTTCAACTTTTTGAAATTGTTTTTAGCAATTTTGAGTGGTGAGAAAAATCCGGAAGTCAAAACCCGGTTGCTAAAAGACGAACGGTTCATGGTCCTGATGCGCAAGTTGAGGGAAAACTTTGGCGTTATGGTGGGTTTTTAAATTACTGATGAGGCCTTTTTCAAGACGAACTATTTTTATTTTAACTTTTCTGATGCAGGGAAAAGGATTTGTCATCGGCCATCCAAAACTAGAGAAGTTGAGGGATGTTGTTCTAGAACATTTTCAAAAACACGACGATAGGAACACGAAGATCATGATATTTTCTCAGGTAAGTCTTGATCCTCTTTTGAAAGGTAAAGCGACTATTCGTTACAGGCTATTGGCAAATGCGACTTTTCGTTACGGGCAATTCGTTACGGGCGGCCTTTCGTTACAAAACATTTTTGCTACTGGCACTACTTTGTAACAATCATGTACGTTACAGTAGTACTTCGTTACATTGCTCTTTTGTTACAGGCTACTTTTGTATCATTACAATTTTGTTACAGAAACACTATTTTGTTACAACAAAATAAAACTTTATTAAATTTTTAAAATTTTATTTATCAACTGCAAATTTTGAAATTTTTTCGGTTGAAAGAAGTTGAAAATTGAGGAAGTTATAAATGAAAATAGGAAACAATTTCCAAAAAAAATGTGCCTAGGGGTGGGATTGAACCAGGTACCTCCAAGACTGGTTTGCTGCAACCTAAGTTTTTTTTGCAGGCCAAGTAAAACCTGCTGAAAGTTGGTGTAACAACTTTCAACGACGAAAGTTGTCGAAAAAAAACGCGAAAAAACGAAGGTTCAAGACAATCATGGGGAAAAATCATCCTTCCATATAAATTCATGAGCACAGTACAGAAAGAGGAATTATATGCCAAAAGCCAGCGGATACTTATCCAAGAAGGAGGAATCATTACACAGAAGTCAAAGACACTCATAAAAACGGATGAACGGCTTTTGTCATTGCTGCCTAGATTTCAGGAAGCCTGGGACAGTGAAGAAGACCTAGAGGAAGAGGATGAGATTGTGAATCCATGGGCGAGAGGGATTTTGCAATGGCTATTGTCAATTGGAGGAGCAACATACCAAATTTTAGGTTGATACTTCTCTTAAATTTAATTGGTGCATCAGAATATACAAATTTTGGTTACAAAATGAGTTGGTAACATTGTCTAGCCTGAATCCAATAGTACACCAAACAAAATGTACCCGTAACAAAGATGACGTGTAACAAGAAATCTTCGTAACAAAAAGTGCTGTAACGAAAAGTCGGTAACAAAATGTTTGGTAACAAATGTGTCCTTGTAACGAAAAGGCGCATCTACGAAAAGCCCGTAACGAAAGGTCGGTAAACCCTTTTGAAAGTCTCTCCCCTCTTTTATTATGGGATTTTATTCTCTGTTTTAGTACCGAGAAAGCGTGGAAGATATTACAGCCTTGCTTAAAAATTTTGAGCCAATGGTTCGGGCTCGGAGTTTTGTTGGCCAAACCTCGTCTGGAAAAAACACTAAAGGAATTACGCAGAAGGAACAGCTTAAGGTGGTGAAGGAGTTTTCCAGCAAAACAAACGCTGAAACCGGTTTTAATGTACTTGTGTGCACCTGTGTGGCTGAAGAAGGATTAGACATCGACGACGTAGACCTCATCATTTGCTTTGATTCAAATCGCTCGCCGATCAGGTTAATCCAAAGAATGGGTCGCACTGGACGCAAAGCTGCAGGAAAAATGATAGCTCTTTGTGCAGAAGGAAAAGAAGCCGAGGTAAATATGCATGTCTCATCGATGTCTTTCTGTTCTGTATCCGGAACGTTAAGAATGTCCTGAAAAGCGATTTTTATTCGGAGCGCTATAAGTCACCCATTCGACCGTAGACTGCATTCGCAAATCAGTTTGGATTGTTGTTGAGGTTTTTTAAATGTCGTGAGTAATTTTCCGTCATAAGTAAGATGGTAATTCTTTTTTGATGTTCTACCGCAGAAAGTGAAGGGACTATCCCTGAAGGAAAACCATCTGTAACCCACTTGATTATTTTTTCTTCTGAAAAGTAAAGTTTCGTGGAATTTTTCTGCGTACCGTGTATGAACTTCTTCGCCAGAAAATTAATGTTTAGTGTAGTTGTTTTGACTATCCCTGAAATGTTCTCGGATCTTTTCATGTGTCGTAAACGTACTGTGCATGTAAACTTCCTTCAAAACTGATTGGAAATGTGCTGAATTGTTTAATTAATTATAAGCTGATTATTTCATCGCGCTGTTGTAAATTGTAATTTTGTTCCTTACAAGTAAAGAGACCGTCGAAATTATTTTTTTATTTACTTATTTTTAATCAGCTTCATAATTACTGTACAGTACTGTATTGCAAAACTTATCTTGCGCGAGGCACTGGAGGCAGTCTGTGTTCAATCTCGAAATGTCAAGGCACTCTAAGTTGAATTTCTTCTGCAGGCATATCTGGGAGCAATGCGCCAAAGAAACGTCGTAAACCGGATTCTATGCGATAAGAACATCAGCAAGAACCTCATGCCTCCCATTCCTTGGCCATTTCCTGAAGGTACGGAGAACTGCGAGCTTAGCTATGATTGTTTCAGTATGACAAGTGTATCTTTTTCTAAGAACTACGTTTTAAATTTGCCATATAAATGAACTGGCATCTTGATTTATTTTATTCAATTACTTTTTAAATCAGCGCTCTTCTTTTTTCAGGTAAGAACTTGCGTTGTGAGCGCATGGCCCACGTCCCGATAAACTTCGAAAGTCCCGCCGTGAAATCACGTGCTAAACCCGGTGTAGCCAAACGAGAGCGGAAACGAAAAGTAAATGCAAAGCACGTTTCTGATGATGAAGGCACCATCTCAAAAAATTATGCTGGGGGTTCTAAGCGCTTACATTCGAAAACGAATGCTGGCGATCTGCGATCGTTTCTAATGAACAATTCCGGCGTATCTACAAAAAAGAAGCGTGGTGTTGAATCTTCACCGGAGATCATCACCATTGCGGACGAAGACGTGGATATGGAAAGAATTATGGAAACCTTACCCAAAAATTTCGCTTCCGACGATAATTTAATTTGCGAAGAGGATGAAATTTTAGACCTCATAGCCATGGGTACCAAGGCGCTTGAAGAACTTCAAGAAATCTCCAGCAGGCGAGCGAAGGAAGAACGCGAGCGACAACGGAAACTCGAAACCTACGACTGTGATGTTTGTGCTGACGTTTTTACCACACTTTTTCGCCGTTTCAATCCTTCCGCTCCTGTAACTCCCGTCCGATTGTCTCCTCCCATGAGCGCAAGTGCTTTTGAAGTATGTGACGGCAGTAAGCAGGATTCTTTGGAAGCTTTGATCGAAGATAATATGGGAAACTGTTCTGAAATGGAATTCGACCATGTTGACGATCCTGGTAAATCAAAGGACATCACAGACCCTCAACCCGGCGCTGTTGAACTTAAGACATCTACTCCTTTTATTCGGCACAACAACCTTCAAGCCTCTTTCAAACCCGGAAAATTATTCACTGTGTTCGAGTCTCCTATTGAAGCATCGCCTGTGATTGTAAAGGTTTGTCCGCTGTTCTGAATCCATTCGTGTGGAATTGTATAAAAATTGCCTATTTTACAGCGTGATTCCCCCGACGTTTCCTCGAAAGGTGCGAATGAAACAATCCTGGCTTCAACTACTCAAATATTGAAAGCAATAAATGCCGCGACGCAAGTTTTGTCTGAAACCCCTGCTAAGCTGAGAAAGTTCAAGCCGACGAAGCTCTCTGTAAAAACTGCGGTTGTAACGTCTCCAAAACCTGCTAAGAGCACCCTTCACAATTTTGATGACATTTCTGATGAGGATGATGACTTGTTCGCGAGGATGGATCTTGACAAACTGAAAAGTAAGTTATGCTGAAATTCAGTTCCGTGAAGGAATGTTCGACGCGTACTAGTGTGTACGCTATTTTCAAAGCTTTGTGGATTCGAATTGAATTCATTCTTACAGAATTCTGAAAAAATATTTGCACATTCTTTTATGAATTTAAATGATGAATCGTTATATGGATTCTTAGGTCCGTCGTCTTCGAGGGAAGATGTAGCGAAGAGTGTCGTTGACAGTCGTCCGTTGGCTGGTCGTCCACCTCTATTTGCCTCGCCGAAATGCTCAACTATAGACCGTTCTGTTTCTGAAAAAAAACCAGTTTCATTGAGCGATTGTCGATCCCCAATTTTATCTACGCGGATACGCCCTGTGGATAGTTCCGTTCAGTCCTGCGCACCGACTGACGCGAAAGCTGTGTACAATCTTCTTGATTTACTCAGTGATGATTCCGTCGAGGAAATTGACTTCGAGAAATCGACGGATCTCGGGGATATTGGTCCTCCACGGTCTCCGGAGTTTCAAAAAGTAGGCTCTCGAAATAGGCCCAGAAACACGAACTCAGGAACTGCATGTGTGAGGAAAAATGGCAGTGATTTTACCGGAATTTCTCGGGAGCAAGTCAATAATGTGGCATTGAATATGGAAGGAATGAGAAGTTCAGAAGTTCACCTGGCCACTTCGCGGAAAAAAGAGGAAGCTGCTGTCGTGTTTCATGATTTAAGTGATCTTTTCGACGACGTTGATGAGGTTCAGCTCAGACAGGTTTCTCCAACAGTCTTAGTCGAACCGGCTGCGCCAGTAACACCTGTAGTTCATACTTTCGACGACTTGGTATGCGACGGAGAAAGCAATGATTCCTGGTTGTTGGACGCTTATGAACAAGCTATGGGAACCGACGCTGATGTTAGTCTTTGATTTTGTAAATTACATTGTCGTAATGCATGAGCGATCATCGTATTTGTTCAAATTATTGGATATTGCAGCTGATAATTATTCTACTGCTGCCAGAACAAATAGAAAACGAAATTTTCTCATGACACTGAATTTTCCTTCCGAATCCTCAGAGCGGAAAAGAGTGGGTTTGCTGCATGTGATTTGTGCTTCCCTTTTCTAGACTCAATATCATCGCCCTGTGCTGTATTTCATCAGTCATATTTGTAGTGCTTTTTTATTTTGAATTTAAATTTACCATTACGGTCTTTTCTGAAATGTTTCAAAACTGTTCATCCGAAGAGAGATTTTCTTTCGATGATGTGACCGTCTATTTAGTCTATACTGTACAGATACACTTTCATGAACTTCTTATCTTCGATGATTTACAGAAACACGAAGCTCTTGCTGGATTACTTCCTGATGCGGATGCTGCTAAAAAGTTGAAGATAGTATCCCAAAAATGCACAACGCGTAATGAAGCTAATTCGTCAAGTACGCTTGCGCATGGATCGACGCAGAGAAATGTTCATTTGAATTCTTCTACCGAACACGAGAGTTTTGAACTACCGATAGCGAGACGCCGGAAGAGAGTAGATTTTTTTGAAGACACTCGGGAAAGCGCTGGATCCGCCGATTCCTCCAATCCCCTTGTCCGAAGGAAAATCGGCCATAATCAGTCGAAAAAATCTACGAAGTCTGTCAGCTGGGATTCATCGACGATTGATGATGATGATGATTTCATTATTCCAAAGCGGTCGAAAATGGATTCAGCCGGGGAGTCTAGAAAGGTGCCTTGATGCTTCCAATTTTCTTCGGCCCTGTTTCAGAGCTTATTTTAACTACTGTATGTCTTTCTTTCTAGAGTACGGATGAAGCTGGTAGTTCAAGAAAAACCTTGGAGATTAGTTCGCGAGACGTGAAGGTCAAGAAGAAGAAGAGGAAACGCAGACACAATGATTTCTTGGACGACGAAGCCGAGGTTTCGATTGATAGACTCAATTCAGAGGATGAAAGTGGGGGTAGTTCTTATGATGAAAATGAGCTGAGTATGATTGATGATCGCGACATTCTCACTCAGGATCCGGGTGTCGAGTATGTGTTTTCAATTGTATCATGTATTTGAAATTTTTTGATGAACTGGAATGACATTTTAGTATGGCCGCGGTCTACCTCCGATCTGTTCGGGACGCCCAACCAAAACACAACGCCTTTCGGCTGAAGTATGAATCCGCCGTTCCTGATCACGAAGTCTTCTCTCAGCATCCCGGGAGAGATACTGCGGAATCGGCCAGTGATGATGATTTGGTGAGAGATCTTTTCAAGATGTTCACGATGCATTGATCCCCACGGGGTTGCATATAGAATATTTTTTTCTTATCTTATTGGCGTCGCTATTTTGCACTTCGACAATTTATGATTAGCTAGTCTTGCTTCTAGTAGTTGCATGGTTTTTGAGATTACGATTGTTTTGGAGCTGAATTTTGTACACTTCCTTTGTTCCGCGATTTTTGATAGGGTGTAGGAAACAAATCTAATTTATTGTTGCAGATAGGAACATTTTGGCAAGGTACCCGTTACATAGCTACGAAGCGACTACGATCTTATGTGTGGTGAAACGAATTTGTAGCTTAAAATATCCGCTTTCCTTTGCAGGATGGCTTTATTGTTGACGATGTTGAAGAAGATGAGATTGCAGGAGAATCCGAACAAGAAGTGTCGGCTGTTGGTTGCCTTTCACAAGGAGGAGTTCGAACACGACGTCAGCGAATGCAAATGAAACCACGCAAGCGTCGCGTTGTTCGATTTTCTTCGGAGTCTGATTGAGTCAGCTGTCGTTCGAAAACGTCTTTCTTAAATCCACCAATGGATGATTTATTGATATTCGATGCAGGTTGTGCTGATCTGTTGGCTCGTATTTTGAGCTGTTCATGCCAGTTTTGTAATTTTTGCTTGTTGGAAAGAAAAACCTCGGCTACGAGAATTGAAACGAACTAATTTATTAGTTTTTGCTGATTTTTTATTTTTTCGCGAAAATTAATTGTTAGGCTTGTATTGCAAGGTTCATGGACTCTCTCCCGGGAATAGTCAAGATTTCTCTGGCTTGTGGAGTCAGTGTGTTAGCGGTCATTGCGGGAAAACGTGCAGTAAAGCGATATCTTACCCACAAAGGTTCTGTGGCTGAGCAGGATCTGAAATTCAATGCTTGTGGGGATGAAAACATCGTTGAAATCGAGAAGTATCAACGCGAAGCGGGTGAGGATTTATTTCAAAAAATTAAGATGTATGGGACTCAACCCATCGTTGGATCGAAACGATCACCAATAGCGCGAGCGTGGAATGCTGGACGGTCTCGAGAAGATGAAAAAGCTGAACAAAGAAAAGAGAGCATTTTGATGAACGAAATATTGGATCACGACTGTGATTCGAATGGATGTCCCGTCATCAACCGGGGTTTATTCAGCCCCTCTCCGTACCCTGACGATACAGCCAATTTGCCAATCCCGTATGATCTTGATGCTGATTCTCCGTGGGGCGAGGAGTCCCGTGTCGTATCGTGAGTTCTACCGAAGTTATTCTTCCGACGAGAAATCCAATTTTATTTTCATTTAAGGAAATTCATCCGCGTTGTACACAGCGCGAAGCGTTCTCTGCTCATCTGCATGCACATGATTTGCTTCAAAAAGTATGTCGAACATTTGGTGTTCTTGCGGAAAGATAATCCGACCCTGGATTTGCGTGTGATGGTGGACGAAGTTTACTTCGCTGATATCCTTGTCGAAGCAGGTTATATATTTTTTTGTTTGTAGCTGACTTTTTTAAATGATTTAATCAAAGTAGAATTTAAGATATCTGGGCTGATGAATGGGTGATGATAGATCAATCATCTTTTCCTTTTTTTTTTACCGTTTATCAATTCTGCATAACCGGATTTTCAAGTATGAGAAAAAAGTTATACGAGCCGCTTTGCTTTCTGCCGATGAAGTTGAAATTGGGCTCGGGTTTCTGCCTGGATAGTTGGTGTTCTTCTATATCGCAGTATTTTTAGATTTAATTTCAAAATTTTCATCATTAATATGCATTCAATAATTTTTCTGAGCTCACAATATGAAGGGACGCTTTTGCTACCCATAATGAGGTGTTCTTAATTATTATTTCAGGCATTCCAGTGCTGCAGTACAAGGGTAATCCTTGTTTTGGCACACTCCCCGGTCGCCTTCATTCGAAGTATTTCATCGTTGACAAAAAAATTGCCATGTTAGGGTCGGCCAACTGGACTAGAGCCGCCTTCAAGGAAAATTTTGAGAATCTGATCTTATCTACGGATCCTCTTGTTGTTGAAAGGCTGGCAGATCATTTTGAAAGCTTGTGGAAGACTGACGATTTCGTTCCCTACGTGCAGAAGAATGGCGAAAAACCTCGTCCTCCTCAGTATTGAAGTGGAAACTTCTTCGGGGAAGATGAATTTTGCTTCGTCAGAAAATTGAATCGAAATGGTGGGACTTCTGCTGAATGAACATCAGAATCCCATCAATGTTCAACTTTTTCTTATTGATTTTGGCAGCGTTGCAAAGTCGCGATGATGAAGTTAGCAACCACGGTCAATTAAATTTTTGCGCAGTTTTATTTAAATCCTGCATTTTTTTATGCTAATTTTTTAAACCATGAACACATCTGGGTCTTTCATCCGAAGTCTTCTCGAGGATTTAGGGTGACATCGGTGCAACAAAGAAGTGAAATGGATTTGTATCATGACGATATCTTTGTAGCTCTCGATCCGTCCAGCACTGCGAATAATTCCCCTGCTCGCGATCAGCGCTTGTTGATTTCTGCTGTGTTGAACTCGCGCGACCCTTTCAACGCTTTGTTCTTTGTATCACTCGAGCATTTTGTGATGCACCCACGGCGTTCACGAAGAAGCTGGTAACCCACATGGAAAGCTGCAAGACGAGGAAGAGTGAGATCGAAGATGGAGCCAGGTTCTCCATTGCGCCGTTACACAAATGCCAGTCGCATGTGTACATTTTTCGATATCCGTAATCGTTGTGGTGAGTTTTCCATTGATTGCTGATTGGTCTGTTCGCGGGTGCGCAATTCCGGTAAAAATGTGTTGGAATGCCTGTTCGAAAGACAGTGCCAAACAAAAAATAAAGGGAAAAAAATGAATGTGAACGCTTTAAAAATGCTTTCATGATAATTATTTTTCAGCAGTAAAAAATTTTGTGATCATTTTGGTCGTCCGAAGAGATTTTTTTTTGAAAAACCACTGAAGCACGTCGGTAGGTCAAAAAGATGGACAAAAATCGTCGGGGCTTATTGGTTTACCAAACATTGTACGAGAAATCGATAGCATTTCTTAAATCATAGATTTTAATTATGATCAAGTTTAGCAAAAAATATCCTTCGCAGCTAAATCCATTGCTCGAGTACGACATCAACTGTTTTTAGCTCTCGAACCCGAAGTTTCATGTCAATCGAATGATTTTTTTTTCATCTGCTCCCGCTGAATTCTATTCCGATTGTCAATAACCAGGTTTTTTTTCGCTGCATATCTTCCCGATTTTCGTGGGGTTATTAATTAATGTTTTATTACTTTTAAATTGAATTCTGATGAAAATTGGGAGGTTTTTTACTGAAGAGACATTGCAAAATTAATACGATATTTCTGCTCTTTTAAAACTTCTGATCCTTCTTACGTGCAAACGTACTGTTCAAGTTGAAAAAAATTGGGATATTTTGTGGAAATTAATTTGAGAAAAATGTTTAGTTTAGGAGCGTGTTATTCTCAAGTAGAGCTCATTTGTCAAATGGAATTACAGTGAGTAATTTTACAGGAAAAGCGTATTGTTTGGACCATACAATTAATTTTGATCGAAGTATACGAACCATCCTTGTCGAAAAGAAAGCTCATCTCGCATCCCTTTGGACATTCCATGCGGATTCCGTAATTTGAGGTGAAGTTTCCGGGGTAACACAGCCCAGTCATGTTCCAAAAATCACGGTTCGACCAGCTGCATAAGTAGCACTCCACTGCGTCCACTCCTAAAATTATTATGCACAGAATCCGTCTCGTCAGAAGAATATAATTCAGCGGCGCTGAGTTTGAAGATCGCGGAAACTGATGAGAATTCCAGTAAATATAAGAGAATAATTAATCTATTCCCGGCTTCCGAAGAATTATTAATCAGGAACTTTTTCCTTCATTTTCCTTAACGCATGGGGATCTTCTCGAGAAGATCCCCATGCCGTTATTGCCCGGGAAACAGTTTAGTTTTGTTGTGAATGGTTGTTTCTGCTGCAGGTGGTTATTTTCCTGGGACTCGACCATGCCTCATATAGCCACGAACGCCGATAACGAGTCTGTCGGCTGCGTTAATGCAAAAAATGGAAAAGGAGAAAAAAATGTGTGCCAAAAACGAATCCGTCGCGAGAAGATGACTTAGCTCTCCGGATCTTCATATGTTTCGAGTGCAAACAAGTTCTGAAAGAAAATTTAAGCAATTGTTGCACACGAATTTCATCATGCATCTCCCGCGTGAATTTAGTTTTTAAAAAGCACGAGTTTCTTGGTCATCAGTTTTTCCATACTTTTTGCGAGCTATGTTAACTTCTGGAATTCTTGTCACATTTGTTTCGCGCCCTCTTCGAAGTGCGGCAGTGATGAGATATCTTGGTGTTGTATTTGTATCGAATAAAAGTTGTGCCCCTAGATAACTGCGTGTGATGTGATGAGTTCTTGTGAATTCTCTAGTGTTTTTTTAATCACCTCAAAAGCCGAAATCCTCCACTTTGAAGAATTCTGCTAAAATTTCTGACATGATCTGAGCTCTGCATGCACAATATGTATCTCCGTTACAGCTGCTAAGTCCAGGCAAAAAAATATTTTCTTGCCACAAAAAGACCGCGTAAGAAGTGCCTGGGTTTCACGTACACCTCTCTCAATTTGACTGATGGCGGAACAGACTTTTGGAACTTCCAGAAAAAGAAACTTTTGTATTGCCCCTTGGATAAATGATACATTCTTCGTGGCTGCTGGGGAACGAGCTGAAATGCTTCCGGCGACATGAAAAACGAGCGACAGCCGGAACTCTAGTGAAAGCGTAACCTATCCGGCCAGACGAAAGATTGAGAGGATAGGTGCTGCCAACGATCGTAGTTCTTTGAAAATATGCTACAAAATATTAAATGTATACAACAGCTGGATATAAATATCAATACTTGATCGGAAACGAAGCTAAACTTTAGGGGAAAAAGAGATTCGTCTGAATTTTCAGCGATAACTAATGTTAGCACTCGAACTCGAACATCGAAAGAATTGACTCAAAACTTCAAAATTAAAGCCTCTAGATTGAAAACCTTGAGATTCCAAATTTGACGCCAACCCATCATTCGAATGATGCAGTATTCTGAATTGCTGTGCTGTAGTTGTGGATGAGAAGAACGACTGAATTATGATTTGATCATTGGATACTTTTCTCTTGCGTAGCCCGGAAGCTTCATCGCCTGAACGGAGAAGCTATTTCAGTACTGTATAAGCAATGGATCCATATATACAGTAATGATGGGGAGAAAAATTCTACGCCAATCCTAATCTAATTTTTATAGGAGGGGTTTTGGATAGAAGCTATTCCTAAATGAGTTGAAAATTGTAACCGAGGTGCGTTTTTACATTTTTGGCATGGAAATGGATTGAGGGATCATTTTCACAGAAGTTCATTCAATTATTCTTGGGGAAACACTTATTTCTCGTGAAATTTCCAACCTATTACGCGGAGCCAGTGGTTTTGTAATACGTGCATGATATGCATTTTTTCAATCTAGTTCAAATTTTGATTTCGCAATAATAAACCTGTCGTCTTGCTACTGTCTTTGTGCTATTCTCCTGGCGTTAAAGCAATTTCCATCCGCCAATATCTCGAGGAAGATGATTTTCATGCTCAAGTCTTTGCATTTGTGTACGAATGTAAAACGTAATGACATGCACACAGTATTTTACTCTTATGTTTACCTTGAATGCGTTTTACGTGATGTGGTTGTTCAAATTTCCAGGATAAGAGGAGGGATAATGGATAAAAAGTACAATCTATCATAAGAACTAATTTGCACTAAATTCGCACATGTAAAGCTCCCCTAAACCAAGGAACTAAATAAAGGCTCACGGTTTAAAAGAAGAGACTGAAGTTCTGGCACACTTGTCTTTCATCCTAAAGTTAAAAGTGAAGTTATGACATTCAAAATCTTGAATGAAACTTTATAGTAATGTATATAGATCTTTCTAAACCATCAACTGCGGAATCTGAACTGCCGGGACGTTTTCCGCTGGTGGACACGTTATAATCCTCCCACTGGTGAAAATAACGTCCTGTGCTCGTGAACTACCCAAGTTCCAACAAACGCAGAATAATCTCTGCACCCCCAGATATTTGCTAGTCATGGCCCAGTGCCCCCCTGGGGGGACCTGCGAGAACACGCAGTCAGGGGGAGAATGAATTGTGACTCCTGTTCAGCAGTTTTCCGTCCCCGCCGTGAGACGAATGCGTAAAACGATTATCGAGTGAAGAACAGCTTTTTTTTGTGTGTGGTTGTAGTACTTATAATGGAATGATTTACAGTATATGCCTTCTTTTTTGTTGTTGTTGCTGGCGAACATCAGTGAAGCCGGAGCGTTTGTGGAATTACTAAACAATTGAAGTACTAAAGCTACTAAATTTCTATTAGTTTGAAGCAAAGGGACAACACGTAAACGAATAGGACTAATTATAGAGATTAACGCAAAGACTGCAGTTGTATAAGTATTTGAGAATGAGTGGCTTGAGCATTGTGCGAATTTGAGACCCTTGAATAAATAGTGTATGCGCCTCACTCTTTTAAATCTGGCCTCTATACTCGAGAATACTGTACACCACAGTTCTTCACCAGACAAGAAGTTCAAGTAATTGACGAGTCAATCATATTCAGCAGGTCATTTTCTCCAGATTTAACGGGGTATTACAGTAGTATATTGTCAATCCCACAATATTTATTTTATTGTCTCCGGATTAATGAGGTAGCAGTACAGTATCATCATGGTATCCTATTGAATATGTAATTCCATCCGTCATGCAATTCAGTTGCTTCATCAGCGAACAAAGGCTGCCGCAATGGAATCTCTTCAAAATAATACAATGATGCCTTATTGTCAATTGAACGCCTCGTATTACGAACGAACCGCCTACGAAACTTCCAGAAATCGCAAAAATGGCTCATAGAACGAACCACGTACGTTATCAATGCGATAATGGAAATTTTCTGCAGCCAATTTTCTCTGGAATTCTTTTTCCACAAAATTTCGTCATGCATATAATGAAAGTACGGTAACTGATCTGGAGTTGGTTAGTTATTCCTTGAATTTATTCAGGTTAAAGAGAAAAAAATTTTATTGGGTCGTATGCATGAACTTTCTCAAAAGAATCTTTTGATTCAGATCCGCAGCAGCATCGTGACGATCCCTGCAGGGCAGAGTTTCCAAACAAACAATCCCATTTGTTTAATCTTCAAACTCTCGTGGTTGAAAATAAGAAAAAAAGGAAATACTATGCAAAGAAGAATAAGCGTGCGAAAAATTATTCGGGCCTTCTTTTATTTTGTTCCTTCTGATTTTCTACTCGTATATACTGAACATGGGACTCACCAGAGAAGGCGACGACAGTAAGGAGCAGCCCAGCGATTATTCCCGCGGTCACGAAATCCGACACCGCGTTTCCCTTCATCGAGCAACGATGTTTTTTCCCCCTTGTTGCTGCCCACGATTTTCTCCTTCTATTTTTGTCGTATGTTCAAATAAAAGACAAGATCCCGCAGAATGATTGCAGTCGCGCAAAACCAACACAACGGGTTTCAGCGACCGCCTGCGGCGAGACCCACGCTGGCCGCTGGTCTCTTCCGGATCCGAACCCGTCTTCTCTGATGTGTGGGAAATCCTCCGAGTGTCGAGTTTCCGGGGTATTACTTTATTTTTTTTCTTCGTTCTTTTATTTTATAGGAGAAAAAATCGACGCAATTCGCTCGGGATCTTCCACCCGACCCGAATTACACACCCAAAGATTCCTCTTCTGATGCTGCGACGTTCTTCGTCGTCGACGTTGTCGTCGGGTTTCCGGCGTTGTTGTCCCTTGTAGAGTTGCAAATGGGATGCTCCTTTTCCGCAATTGTTGCTTTTATCTTTCCTTTCGATAGACCGGATAAAACACGTCACTGTACACACAGCACTGTGTCACTGAATCTGAATCGACGGGAAGCGAAATATGCATTTATATATTCACTAAATCTTAATCACGCCCTGGAGTAAAACGCAGTCAGGTCAGGTGTAAGCATTTAAATCAAGTCCTCAATAGTCCCTATAATTAGAATTTGTCACGATGGATGTAATAATCCGAAAAATCACTCCAGTGCTTCCTTTAAAAAATGTATGCAGATAAGCAAGTGTAGTACTGTACATATGTCAGATGCATACATTAAATGAATGAGCATCATTACCGCGGGATTTTGATCGCTTCGTTTTCTTGCCTAGTTTCAAGTAGATATTGCTTGCTTTTGCGATTATCCATCGATCCGTGAGGATAATATCACACAATTTTATGTAACTGATGGGAAATTCTATAATTTGTTGCCCGAATGATGAAAAATTAGTCTTATGTCATTCAAATCAAGTAAAAAAAATTCCCAATTTTTCCGAGCGCGGGTCAGATTATTGATAATTTCTACACGTTTTATTCTCAGCAAATAAGAATAAGATGATGTACTATTATAGTTTCGATGAATTACGGTATTGCATGAGCTGGAAAATATTGAACGGTGCTTTAAAAATTGTATTCCATTTCTATTTAAAAA